GATGAACACGTGCTTACGCGAGACGTATAATGGAGATGGATGCGGCAGAGGGGCTGCACAAGTGCAGATGGGCGCATCATGCTGAGGAGAGGGACGGAGAAATGACCAACAGCAGGAGCAACACAAACGAGAGACGACGAGAGTATGAGGGTGACGACGAGAAGAGGACTGGGGTGCTTTTTAGATGCAAGCGCGCATGTATGGATGGATGGATGGAGGTGAGGATAGACGAAAGTTGACCACGCACGAAAACGCAGAGATGCCAGCCGAATCAAGGCGCAAAAGACACGCTCACACACATTCACACACCACAAAGATGGAGAGAGAGGAGGGAGAGAGGAGAGGAGAGGAGAGAGAGAGATATACATATACATACAGTAAAGCCCACCCCAAAACAGGTTAAAGTTGTATCCCCACTCCTCATCTGCAGGGCTCCTGTTTTCTTCTTTCAAGCATATATGACATGTATATATGGGGAGAAAGTGAGCACGGTATACAAGGGGATTCGGATGTGGGATACAGGATATGTAATACTCGACAAAGGAGATCGCTGTCTATACGAGTGCGGGTACGGGCACGAGTACAAGTAGCCCTTGGCGGTAGTGTCGCGAGTACGAGTACGAGGTACATGGCGAAGCGAGCAGGGAGACAATCAATAAACCTTGCTGAGGATCTCGATTGGAAATTGGGGAAGAAAAGGCACCTAATGAATTTTCATACAAAGTTAAGCGTCACATCTCAATGGAGGGAGGAAGAGAGGAAGTTTGTAAGCCAATTTTTCTTTTCCCTTTTCCAGGAAGTGTATATCTGTCTCGCCTCTTCTTGTCCTCCCTCTCCTGCCCGGTGATTTTCACAGCTTCGGCTCATTGACGAGCATGACGCTGCCCTGACGGAGCTTCTCGGCCGCGCCGTCGACGATCTCGTCGAGGATCTCCTTGGCGCTGCTGCGGTGGTTGACCAACCCGGCCACGACGCCCATCAGGTACGGATGGAGGTTGTCGAGGATCTCGTCGTCGTCCGGGTGTTGCTCCGAGTCGTGCAGCACGGGGAGGATCCCCTGGCCCGTCAGCGCCTTGATCTCCTCCTGTCGGTTCTCTTCCCAGTTGAGGATGTATTTGGTCTTGCGTATCCGGAGGGGTCGGCCCTAGATGGTTTTTTTTATTTTGTTAGGGGTTGGACACATGCCAGTAAATGGCGATCTTGGGGGAAGGAATGAGATGGGGGTGTGTAAAGAGGGTGGGACGGGAAAGGAAGTGGAGATAATATAGGGATAGTCTAATGGGGTGTGGGTGGTGGAGAGGGAAAACGCACTGAGAATATAACACTTCTGACAGTGTCGTCGACACCGGCGCTCAAAACGGCTTCCTGGTGAGCTTTGGAGGCACCGGCTTCATTGGCCACGATGAACCTCGTGCCGACCCAGACGCCCGAAGCGCCCAGCATCAGCGCGGCAGCCAAGCTCTCACCACCCGAGACACCACCGGCCGCCACGAGCTGGACGTCGACACCCGTAAAAGCGGACTTTTGGCCCTTGAGCAACTTGGCCACGGCGGGGATGAGCACGGAGAAGGGGATGTCGCCCGTATGGCCACCGGCCTCGCCGCCTTGGGCGCAGAGGATGTCCACGTCCAGGTCCAGGCACTTTTGGACGTGCTTGGGGTGTCCGATCATGTTCATGTACAGGACGCCGCCGGCGTGGAGGCGCTCGACGGCCTGCCTGGGGGGAACGCCAATGGCGGAGACGAAGACGCGGGCTTTGGACTCGACGACCACGTCGATGAGTTCCATCAGTTTGCCTTTGGTGTAGTCATAACTGTTTTTTATCAGAGAGGACTTGTTCATCAGCGTCCGACTCCCAAACCAAGAAAAAAAAAGGAGGGGGGGGGGGGTTTTGAAGGGGACGAGGGTCTATCAATCTGCAATCTTGCTGACACCAGCCAGACCAGCATTTTTCTTCTTCTTCGCGGGTCACTTACTTTGTCTTGCGCGCGTTGCCTCCCACCTGGGGGAGCAGGATGTCGACGCCAAACGGCGCGTTCTTGTCCGTCAAGTACGACTTGAGCTCCTGGATCTGCTCACGCAACCCGTCGGGACTGTACCCGTGACCGCCAATGACGCCGATGCCGCCCGCGTTGGTGACGGCGGCAGCCAACTTCGGCCCTGCGGCGACGCCCATGCCGGCGAGCATCACGGGATGCTTGACCCCAAACAGGTCTGTGAGGGTGGTGCGGATTTTCTCTGTACATATGGATTTTTCTCTGGTCAGAAAAAGAGTTTGTGTTGTGGAATTTTTGCGGCACTCCCAGTCCCCGAGGGAAGAGGGGACCATCATGATATGATATATGTGAATGGATGGATGGATGGACGGGCAGCTGGAGAAGGGAAAAACACCTACGGCGAGAGGAACCCATCTTTTCTTCTCTTGTGCTCAGATTAGATACTTGTCAGTTTTGCGTGCTTGGAGTGGTCGTGTCTTGCCAGAAACCGCGATATAATAGATTTGCTCAAGGGGTTACCGAGTAACAGGTATCATTAGTAAAATGCTCGTTCTTTGAATTCTGAGCCAATCCCTCCACGAACGACTAACCAGAGAATCATCTATATCATTTTTTTTTTGATTGAAATCTAAGAATATGTACAGGGATACCTTCCATAAGCAGTGTCTCTCTCTCCTCTCTCTGGTCTCTGGGGTGACAAAGTGTCACTTTTACCGAGGACGTCAGCCGTCAGCCAATTCTCCAGGCCCCCTGGGCCTCGGTTACTGCAACTTGTCAACACCGTCATCTTTGTGCACTGCGCACTTATCCTTGGGCAATCCGGGTACCGCAAAGGGTATGCCCGGTGGAAAGGATTCAAGGCGCTCAGATCTACGCGTCTGGTGTCGAGCGGCACCGAAACAACTCCTGGTGCAAAGGCAAGACACGTACATAGCTCGATAGGTACTCGATAATACCTCTGGACAACGCGTAAAGGAGGAAGTTGGAAGCGGGGTAGAGTGAGGCAGCTTTGCCGAGAAGAGGTTGGCGCCTTTCTATTTATGGAATGGTACATTTCGACGGCTGGAAGATCCAATTCTCCGAACCTCCAATCACCATCGCTGTAAAGTCCAAGCTCCTAACGAGTCATGTACAGCAATACCTCGTACCTAGGTAGTAACTGTAACTTGTACCGAGTACCTCGTACTTGTATGGGCATACTCCACTCTCTTCAAAGAAGGGGAGCAACCTGGCCCCCGGCATGAGAGTCTTTGGACGAGTGCCATCCGGCAGGACCTGGAAAGAACCAAAAAAAAAAAAAAACCGCTGCAAGTCTTGGACAAGGCAGGCGTCTCCCAGTTTTGCGTCAGCTTGCCTGTCTCTCTGATGGTTGGACTTTGGGATGGTGTTCCCTCGCCCGCCCCGTCATAGTGAGGCTGGCCGCCCCCGAAACCAAGTCTAGTCAGGAGGGTCCCCCGTCACGAGTTGTGCCTCGAGACGGTGCCTCCCAAGGAGGTGCAATGAGGTATTCCCCCACGGCTCTGCGTGGGTGAGACGCTGCCATGGCGAATGCAAATGCGATTTCCGTTGACAATCGAGTCCTGAAAAACGGGCGGGCCGATGTGCTCTTGTAGAGATCGAGCCTCTCCGCGACGTCTGCTTTTGGACGGAGTTTCCGTGGGGTGCAGAATGACGGCAGCTCTGCACTACTTGTCTCCAGCTCGTGGTTGGCTGTCCGGTGTGGGGGTGACTTGTCTCGCCTCGCCAGACTGCCCATGTTTGATGTCCTACCTACGCTGCGATGTACCGTCTCAGCGAGGTGCATTTCTCTCACGGTCGTCGCCAACGTGTCCCCCTCAAGGCGTCCCGTGCCTTTGTTCCAATCAGAGCCGCGAAGCCTGTCCTGCTACGAAAGATACCTTGCGTCCAAACCCCCCTTCACTAGTCACTATTATTTGCGTCGCACAAGGGTTAATGGCCTGATTGGGTGACCATCGGAAGAAGTCGGCCTGAGGAAGCGCGCCCGGCTGATATTGCGACAAGAACGGTCCGGGGTATCGTCTGGGGTGGGCAATATCCGGGGTTGGACAAGTGACAGGTCGCCCTGGACTCCTGAGGAAGGGCTCATTCAAATGTGCCCTGGTTCACGAGGGACAGCGCCCGGCACGTTTAGCTGCAATCGGTGAAACTCGATCGTCCTTGTGAGACACATCACGAGAGCCCGATCTAACGATTTCAGTGCCCAGGATGAAAGCAGGTTGCCTGGAGCTACGCCGTGCCGGAACACCGTTGCTACTCCAATGAGCCCGGGGTGACAACATCCTTGACTGGAGAGTTTGCTAGGGCAGAGTCGACCACGAACGGGTTGCTTGATTGAGTCATATCGTCGACTACCCGTCAGCTCCATGGGTTCCCGTAACGAGGACTCTCTGCACGCTGACCCTGCGGCGCGATGATACCTCGTAAAACAATATGCTTGTCTCTCAAATGGACCTGCCCAGTCTCTTAAACCCTGGCGCCTGACTTCCCAGAGGCCTTGTGTATCCTTAGATCGGGACTTTGCCTCGTGCTGACGGGTACTGGGGACTTGACCAAGATGATGCGGTTTGCCAGCCTTTTGAGCCTTGCTTTTTTGCCCACCTTGACGCCCACTCAATTGCCCACTGTGCGTGGGGGGTACCCATGGACAAAATCACTGGCCGAGGAGGAACTCTATATTCTTTTAGCAAAGAACCGAACCCCTTCTATGCCAGACAATTGCCCTTGCGCATGATGTAAGACCCCCTGACGAGAAGCGGGCAGCTGAAAATGTTGCATGGCGGTTGAGTCGAAAACGCGCTCTCCCGAAGGCATATAAATATCGGGGAGTAGGAGGTCGTGAAGGAAAGTCCTGGTGTTCTAGAGAATGCAAACCATTCTACTGTGCCTGGCATGAACCCACAGACCAGTGCAATCGAGCCTTGATGCTTTTTCATTCCAATTTCGACAGTCTCCGCGTAAAATTGACTTACTCTTTGTGAAACCATGGCGGCGGCTCAACCATTGAGGCAAGCTTCGAAACAGTGGATAGAAGAACCTCCCACCCCGAGGGAAGACTGACATGATTATAGAATCGACCAGATCGACACCCAAGTCGCCCTGGGTGGAAAAGCTCACGAGGGCGGCGGTGCCATGGTGCACGTCTTCCTCTACGGGGCGACCAACACCGTCATGGACTTCATCGTGCTCGGCCGGCACTCTGGCGCACAGGCCGTGGCCAGGGGAATGCCGCCAGCCAAGAACAAAATCGGATGTATCATCGGGCGCTTCGACAGCGCGGAGGAACCCACGGCCGCCCTGATGAGACAGATGGACGAAATCACAGACGCAAAAATCGTCCGGCAGGCGGAGGTCTACCGCATGACGCTGGTTGGTTGTGAGTGATCAGAGACTTTGACCCAGGGGAACGAAGTTGAGTGGAGGGAAAGAAAGGACAGAGCAGGAAGTAGTTCACCAAAGGTCCCGGAGAAACTGGGGGGAACAAATGGGGAAGAAGTGGTTGGATGAGGATTGACCACGCGCTTTGAGGGTCGCGTGCACTGACGTGGATAAAAGACCAAGATATGCAAGGTACCTCTATACCTTGTCGAGCAAGGCTACAAGGTTGACATGGTGGGGAGGGGCGGGTGGTGCCGGAGCTGTGTTCCAGCCACTGACGAGGCTGAGCGAGGCTGTTTCCAACAACCTGGGCAACAAAAACGGGACGAACTGTACCTCCTTCCGTTAATTTCTCCTTCGGCGACATGAGGGGGGATCCAAAACCATTGATAATTGTCTACCTCCAGACCCAAAAATATCTATCTTCTATTGCAAATCTTCTGACAGGTCTAGATCTATCCGCTTCTAGTCTTGTCCTGCCACGCTCGCCACGACGCCTGATCTATTGGGTCCCTCCGTCCAATGTGGTGGATAAAGCTGCAATGCGTTGTCATGACTCTTCCTCAGTCTGTCCTTTGCCAGAAATCCAGGATCCGGGCAACGATTTGGTCGCCTTTCGTGACGGGCACCTCGTGTCCCGCCTCGAAGATGGCAAATTCCACATTGCCCGAGAGCACTTCTGTGGCATCTTCCTGGACCTCTTTCTGGATGATGATGGGATCGTTGGTCCCCAGAACGATCAGCACTTTCTTCTGCTTACCAGTCTCTTCGTTTAGGCGGGTCAAATGTTGGCCAAATGCTCGCCATCGGTCATGCTGATGCCGGATAGGACCATAGCGGATGCTGGACATGAATGCCGCGACAAAGCCCGGGTAGTTGTCTAGCTGATAGAGGACCGTCTTCTCGACAGTGACGTGGGGACGTATCTTGGAGAGATGGGCCTGAGAATTGGCTTCAAGGTTGACCTCGGCGGCTACCGCCTCAGTTGCATCAACCGTGGTATCCTTGTCGAGTGGTTTCTTCAGTGGCTTGGCCATGGGACTCCGAAGTCGCTTTCTGACCAAGCGCTGCAGCAAAGACTCTGGGATCAGGCCTTCCGAATAGATAATATGGCTTGTCCGGCTGATGTGATAGGGCCTCAGTATTCCGGCCGGCGCAAATAGGATCAAGCTGTCGATCAAGTTGGGAAAGTAGGATGCAAAGGTCGTAGCGATCCCGCCGCCGAGAGAGTAACCAATCAGAGTGAATTTGCCACCAGAGTCCTTGCCAGTCCACGACAACGGCGACGACGCTAGGACCAGCAGTATCTGAGTCGTGAAAAGCCGGATGTCATGAGGCAGGTCTTCAGGGTTGTCCGAGTAGCCTCGTCCGAACAGGTCGAAGAGCATGACGCGACACCCATTGTCCACAAGGGCGTGGGCAACGGCTCCCAGCGCAATCGCAGGAGTACTGATGCCGTGGACAAGGAGGACCTTGCGCCCATCTTCCGGGCCGAACTCGTACACTCTAATTGAGCCGTGAGGTGTTTCGACGTCGCGGGCCCCCGGGAGCACATCTGGAGGGTAGGGTAAGTCGGCGATTTCCTCTGGGGACAGCTTCGGCAGCACCGTCACTCTCGGAGACCGCACGATCGTAGCTTTCTTCTTGTTCCAAAGTCCTCCGGCAATGACCCCGACAGAGAAGAGACAGGTACCGGCCAGCACCAGCCGCCACTCGAGGGCCCCAGGGAGCAAAGACGACCTGGATGCCATTTGGCAATGTGTGGCAAAACACTGCACAGATGCACAGGAACTTGACGGAGTTGTCCTCGAGACGCGGATAAGAAAACTAATTATTTAGTTCGGGCGAAATTCGATCCTTTATCGACCAACGCGACCCATTGATGACGAATCCGGAACTGCCTCGGCTCAAGGACGACGAGGCTGAATCACCCGATCAGGCTAGCCTCGACCTTTGCAGCCTCGTCTCCCATATGTACATCTGTATATGAATTCTATGAGGCCCTTGATTCCTAAGGTATCCTCCGATCCAAGGTGAAAGTCATTTCGACACGGAACACAAGATTATTTGGGATTCCTGAATGTTTGAAGCATCACGATCAGCCACTATATTCTGACACATCTCACTCTTCAGTAGCATTGATACACTCCACCCGCAGCTCCAATCAACAGCGCCAATTTCGAGAGCAAAAATATTCCTCCCTGGTCTGTCAGTACCATGACTTGGGGTATCACCCATAGACTTTTGTGAAACGCCGTCGCAGACACTTTTTTTTAACTCCAGACCTTCGAATCATAGCGAGAAGTCCAACGCCTTCCCTCCGGATTTATCCTTTCCCTTGTTCCTCTTCCTTTTCTTCCGTTTCGGTTTTGATTGGTTGTCTTCGTCACTGGTTTCATCCAAATCGGACTCGTCGATGTCGTCATCTTCAGAGGATGATATTTCATGCTTAGTAGTAGAGGGCCGTCCCCCACCCGGAAGTCCTTTCGCCTCTGTCCATACCTTGACAGTTTGGCCGCCACTAGTGATCATTCGCCCTTCGATGTCGAAGCCGATGGCCGCGACACCATCGATTTCGTCGTGTTTGGCGTCCATCTCGGCCAAAACTCCATTGCGACCAATTCTAATGAATCGAATTCTGCCGTCCTCGAGACCCGCAGCCACAAGCTTCTCGTTCATTTTCAGTTTTCCACTTCCAAAGCCAAAAGGCACTTCAGCGAGACTATCCACGCCCAGCCCGCCTCGTTCGAGGACGATTCGTTCGTCAAGATCTCCCCATACACCTCTCTCCCACAAACTCACCACTCCATCACTCTGACCAACCAGGACTTTCTCGCCCACACTAGTCCCCCCTTTCTTGAGGCCTTGCACCAGGGTCAAACTCGTCAATTCAATCTCCTGGTCCGCACTCGTTGCGATAGTGCCTTTGCGAAGATCTGTCACGGCAAGGGTAGTGCCACCTACGCTGACCCACTGTTTTGGGAATCCACTTGTGCTGGTCTCACTTGCCGGAAGCGGAACAAGGTCATTGATATGTTCCTCGCCATGAGGTGTCCAGGTCTGACTGCATTTTGCCACGATTTCTTTTGAATGCTGCCTTAAGTCGTGGAGATATAATTTACCCGAGTCGGTACCCAGCAGCAAAGCCTGCGGCGATAGCGCGTGCAGGACGGTTGGCCCATCAACCCCTCCCGATCCCACAGTTTGAGGTATTGCAATTTTGCTCACAACCTTGCCAGTTTCCGTGTAAAAGGCCTTGACGAGACCGTCTGTTCCTGCTGAATAGCATAGATCCCCCTCGTGACTGAATGCGAGACACCGACATGATCCTTTGTGTCTCCTAGTCGTCCACACCGTGTCAAGTGAACCGAGTCCGCTCTCGGAGAGACTGGCCGTGGAAGATCTGCGCAGTGAAGGTATTATTGAGCCATTGGAATTCGTGGGTTTCAGGGGCGGTGAGGCGCTATCTTCTGACGTATCCGCAATGACCTCGGAGTCGGAGGGGAGTTTGTACGTGTGCACATGCCCTGAGGACAAGCCGATCGCAAACAGTGGTTCCGTGGGATGGACGACTTGAGCAAAAATATCGGACTTGAGAGGGAGGGTACAAATAGTGTCGAACATGGTTTGAGAGAACGATCAAGGCATGGCCGAAAGGTGTTTCTTTCCTGGTGGTACAAAGGCGTGCGTTGAAACTGAAGCTTCACGCGATGGGTTGCATTGAATTGGAGACAGAATTGAATGAGAGCTAGAGAGAGCTGTGCGGCTTTTACTTAGGTAAGTAGTTGGTGCACTAGAAGTGAAGATCTCCGGGGGGCAATTAGGCCATTGGAGGATTCTTAAGGGGCCGCTGAGGGCGATCAGCTTTAGGGCATCTTTACCGAAAACTCTAATCAAACAGTCCTTAAAACCCTAGGGCTTAGGGCTACTACCCAGGGAGGCACACGTACCCTCAGTGGACGCCTAACCACCCACCACCCTGGCGCCTGCTATCATCGGACTCAAACCATCATATAACAACATTTAACCATGGAGTGATCGCCCAAGGAGCCAGTTGTACAGCATTGGCTTTATTGCGCGTTGTCCACCAGGGGTATCTGAACATTTGTTTCATTTCATGCTTTTCTAATCGATTTCTACGTCCATCATGGCAGCAGCAGATGTCACTCAAGACGACCCCGACGCTCGAGTTGATGAAACAACTGCGCTCCTTGCTCCCTCGGGTGAACAGCCCACGTCTTCTGATAACAACGACAATGACGCGCCAACGTCAACGTCCAATGGAGCGAATGGCAAGGGAGAAGACAAACCGCTGCCCAAGGATCAACTCTTCTACCTCTGCTTCGCCCGCCTGATCGAACCCATCGCATTCTTCTGCATCTTTCCCTTCATCAATCAGATGATATGGGACACTGGGGAAGTGGCGAAGACGGACGTTGGCTTCTACAGTGGAATGATTGTGGGTCGCCTTGTGTCGCAGAGATCTCCTGGTGGCACATATTGACAATGCGCGTAGGAGTCGCTGTTTTCTCTGACGCAAATGCTGTTCATGATCCCCTGGGGCAAAGCTGCCGATCACTTTGGAAGAAAACCTGTCCTTGTCAGCTCGTTGGGTGGCGTGGCCCTGGCGACTTCTATCTTTGGACTGAGCAAGACAATATGGCAGATGATCCTGTTTCGATGTTTCGCTGGAGTCTTTGCTGGCACGGTCGTGTAGGTTCATTCGATCGTCTTCGGGACAATGCAAGAACAGATCGCTCACAGTGAATGCAGGACTATCCGTGCCATGATTACAGAGATTAGCACGCACAAGACCCAGGCCAGAGCATTCAGCTTCTTTGCTTTCACAGGAAATCTGGGGATCTTTCTAGGTCCTCTGCTTGGTATGTTACCCTTGTTTTGTAAAGATCACTCGACCCGCAAGGCTGCTGACAGCTCTACGTAGGAGGAGCACTCGCAAACCCTGCAACGGTATACCCGTCTGTGTTTGGACATATCAAATTCTTTCGTGACTACCCATATGCACTCCCTACATTCGTATCAGGCTCAATCGCTATTATTGCTACCATCACTCTTGCGTTGGGCATCAAAGAAGTGAGGACTGACATTCATTTCCTTCCCCCCTGCCTCTTGCTTTCTACGTTGCCCAAGCTGACTTAATCTGGTTGTCCCTAAAGACTCTCGTGCGATCTCCGACGCAGCAGTCCGCAGGCGCCCGGAAAGAAATGTCGATCCCCGACCTGCTTCGATCTCCCAATGTCCCGATAACACTGTATATCTACGCGCACATCATGCTCCTGGCTTTCTCCTACACAGCTATCGTCCCGGTGTTTTTCTTCACCCCGGTCGATCTGGGCGGTTTCGGGTTCTCGCCCTTCCTCATCTCGGTATTCATGGGTTTGGGCGGCCTCTCTCAATCGCTATGGCTCCTCATTGTCTTCCCATGGCTGCAGGCCCGCTGGGGTACTAAGAGCGTCCTGGTCCTCTGCGCAACCGCTTACCCGATCTTCTTCGCCCTGTACCCCGTCTGCAACCTGTTCCTGCGGTACCACATGACAGCCGTGTTCTGGACCATCGCCCCCATCGCCCTGGCGGTCGGCAGCGGCGTTGCGATGTCCTTCACCGCGATCCAGCTCGTGCTGAACGACGTCTCGCCCGGGCCCGAGGTGCTCGGCACTCTGAACGCCGTGGCGCTGACCATGGTCAGCGGGATAAGAGCCTTTTCCCCGGCGCTGTTTGCAAGCTTATTCGCAACCAGCGTGCGGAGCGGGGTGCTCGGCGGCCATGTCATCTGGATCTTGATGGTTGCGCTGGCCCTGGGCTTCGCGGTTGTCAGTCGCTGGGTTCCTGAGCCTGGAAAAGACGAGGACACGCCCAAGCCTGTCAACACGCATGGTCATGGTGACGGCAACGGCAATGGCATCGCCAACGGCAACGGAGCTGCTGCAGCCGAGGCGGGTGAGGAAGACGACGACCACGAGTAAGTCGATTTAGTGAGCAAAATCGTCAATGATGTGTATATGTGTATGAAGAGAATTGAGGAGATGGAATATCTGCGGAAAGCAGCCAGGAAGTGGGCCCAGGGGCTACCACAGCGCCACACCCTCAATAGACGAAGCGATGAAAAACCCGCCAAATCACGCTGGAGTCGTCTATTCGAGACAGGCTATAGACTACGCGAAAAGTACAGTACTAGACGGCGGTCGTTACAACTCGCACAGAGGCAATGCATCATGGGCGTTGGTAGGACGGAAGGACGAAGGTGCAATCAGGGAATAGATATAGCAGGCGTTCGGAAACTTCCGACATGTCGACCAACGTGAATAATGACTATACACAAGGCTAAGGAGATAGTCTGGACAAAATTATTTTCAGGCTTCAGATGGCAGCCCTCTCAAAGGCAGCAAATCATCTGTCAACACTGTAGATGGAATCAATACGTCCCTTCCTAAAGATCCGCTCGTGCCGGCTCCCCCACCCACGCCCTTCTGATCAGCTCTCTAATCGGCTCCTTTTCCACCTTTCGTGGGTTGGGATATTGATTGCTCACGGCAATCTCGGCAGCCTTGTCGATGTCCTCCTCCTTCATGCCGTAATCCTTTAGCGCGCGCTTCACCTGCAACTTCTCGAGCAGGATGTTCAGTCCATTGATGGCGTTACCTTCACTCCCGGGGAGGGCAGAGGCGAGCCTCTCCATCGCTTCTGGAATAGCGGGAGCGTTGTAGGAAAGCGCGTGGGGAAGGACGATAGTGTGAGTTTCGGCATGAGGGAGATTGAAGGAGCCTCCGAGCGTGTGGCATAATTTATGGTGCAAGGCCATCGAGGACGAACCAAGACAGACACCGCAAAGCCAGGCTCCATACTGCGCCTTTTCACGAGCAGACTGGGATTGGGGGTTTTGAATGATCTCTGGGAGTGATTCCGCAAGGGCTTTGGTTCCCTCGATGGCGAGAAGGGAGATAATCGGATTTTTATTCTTCGCGTAGAGCGCCTCCACTGCGTGCGCAATCGCATTCACTCCTGATGTAGCACTCAGAGATGCGGGAAGGGTCATGGTGAGGTCGACATCATAGATTACCGTGCCGGGAAGAATCTTGGGATCGGTCCGCGTGGTTTTTCGACCATCTTGCGTTTCGCCCAGTATGGGTGTCATTTCACTTCCGGCGTATGTAGTTGGGATGCAAATATGGTGTAGGCCAGTGCGGACTGAAATTGCCTTGCCCAATCCTGTTGTTGAACCTCCTCCTATTGAGACGACACAATCTGCGGATTTGGATTGAATGAAAGCCATGGCTTCTTCGGTAATGTGCGAGGGAGTATGCATGGTAGCGTTTGAGTAGGTGCCGGCAGGCTCAATCGACGCGGCAGTGAGGATTTTAGCAAGATCTTCAGCTTGACTGACTTGCTGGGGGGTCGAGAGGATAAGAGGTGATTTGAAGCCTAGACGTCGGATCTCATCCGGAAGTTTTTGGATACTGCCTTTCCCAAAGACCACTCGGCCTGGGTTGGCATTGTACTCGAAAGGATCCATCGAGGCAGAATCAAGTCGGTTGGTTGTCGGTTGGACGCCAATGGCTTGCAGTCTCGAAAAATTGCAAGACTCGGGGAATAGCGAAGGCACACAGAAAGTCGATAGGGAAGAGTTGTAGTGCGTTGGTCTGTTAGAAAGCGACCCCGCGGTCTTTTGTTTGGAGTTGAGGGCAACGGAATCAACCGCAGCGCAGCGTCATCGGAAAAGGGATTCCTGCTGGTCAATGCCTTCGTGGGGCAAAGCCGGCAGATGCACCCAAATTCCTGGGCTCTGAGCTCCAAACCCCACCACCCAAAAGCCCCCCCAAGGCACGAAGGGAGAAGTTCCGTCCGGGGGCATTATCCGATTTTGCTTGCAAGATCTTTCATAAAGCTGACAAACCCTCCTCAGGTGAATGGAATGAAATCCCGCGTCTTTCAATACAGAATTGCTCTGAATAGGTATATCGTTGTGGATGCCGCCCAGCTAATCGCCAACACCCCCAAGGCTTGCAGCATCTGCTTGGTGGCCCTGATACCGTCGTTGTAAGTCGAGGCCAGAGGAACTGTAGCTTTGCTACGCCAGAAATTCGCAATGTGATTGTATGCCAGGGCAAGGCCGCCGGCGTTGGCGGCACTGAGCAAGAATGGCATGGTGTTGCGATCGGAGGAGACGGCAATCACGAGAATTACCGATGACACAAACGAGGACACTGTCTGGTCCATGGTTGTCAGTATCTGACATGACAGAAGAGTGTTTCTTTCGAGACGCTTACTGCTAGCACACCACTAGCCTGTGTGGTTCGGGTTTTGTGAAGCTGTCGTGCCGCTGTGTTTGAATAGCGTGATGCGCTTTCAGTCTGTGGTTCCCACTGATGAAGGTCGTAGATCGCCATAGCTGATAGCAAGCCAAGGTAGCCGCTGCCGCAAGCTTGGACAGCGTGATATATTTCAAGAATGAAAGACATGATTGTCTAGGGTGCTGTGGTTCAATGGCGAAGAGGGACAAGAGTTTTGGTGACGAAGACCACGAGATGCTTGAGAGGCACGAGAGGCTGCAATTCCATCATAGGGCCAATGACTAAGCCATTCTGGTGCCAAGACATTCAAGAGACACCCACGGCAAACTCCCTCCAATACTATGCACTGTAATTGTCAAGCAGGATGTATGAGTATCAAATGTTTATGGCTCACCGAAGGCTGCATTACCCATTCCTAAAGACATGACTTTAACCAGGTTGCCCGCTGTAGACTATAACCTCTAACAAGGGGTAAAAGCGGCACCATCGCCACACCTGCTACAAAGTTAGCCTTGTTTCTCTTCGAGGTTTTTCTTCAGCCTTTCTTTCTGATCCTGGCTCATCGTCCCTAGACTCTGAGGACATACCATCTTGGATCCCTGCAAGATGGCCGAAGAACTGTCGGCGCCGCCTGTTCTATCCACACCCGATACATACATATTGGAAGAAACTCTTCCGGAGGCTGTGCGGTCATCAGAAGCACTGTCAGACGAGCAGATCAAGACAAGGTATGAGATCAATAGAACTATCAACGAAATCAGGCTGCGAAAATGGAAGCGAGTTGCCTTACAATTCCCCGATCATATGCTTGCACACTCGGCAAGAGTCTACCAACTCCTAGCCAGGGGGTTAGAAGTGCAAGCCAAAACGCTTGCTGAGGCGCATATGAATGGCAATGACAATGGGAACTCAAATTCAGCGGATCCCGATATGTCGGGGCTCTCTATCGAAGGCACAAAGCCAGTCACGCTCACCATACTAGGAGACACCTCGTATGGCTCTTGTTGTGTGGATGAGATTGCTGCTGAGCACCTTGATGCAGACGCCGTTGTTCACTACGGCAGAGCCTGCTTATCGCCAACTGCAAGATTGCCCGTTCTGCACATCTTCACTACCATGGGTCTGGAGATGGACCAAGTAGTCACATCTTTTCAAGCGACGTTTCCAGATCTCCACGCGAAGGTGGTGCTAACGGCTGATGTCCCTTTTGCTGCGCATGTTGCCCCTCTCTTCAAGGCGCTACAAAATTTGGGCTACTCAGACTTATTCGCGGCTTCTATTATTCACGATCCGTCTTCGGCAATTCCAAATCGAACAGTACCATCTTCGATCACGAAGGATCCTTCGTCCCTGTCACAATGGAATCTATTCCATATCTCCGATCCCCCTACGTCTCTGCTGTTGACACTCCAGTCACGCATGGCCAGTATAAAAGTCTACCCTACTGATACCATTCAATCCTCCTCAACTCCTACCACCGTTTCTTCTGCCCTGGAGACATCTACGGCTCACCTACTCCGCCGCCGCTATGCCCTTGTCACCTCTCTCACCACGGTTTCAGCCTGGGGGATTCTCGTGAATACGCTCTCTGTCAAGAACTACCTGTCGATTCTGTCACACATCCAGTCGCTCATCTCCACCGCGGGCAAAAAGTCGTACCTCTTTGTTGTCGGGAAGCTCAACCCTGCAAAACTGGCCAATTTCTCAGAAATTGGAGGGTGGGTGGTTATTGGATGTTGGGAAAGTTCTTTGATTGACAGCCGGGAATTCTACCGACCAATTATTACACCGTTCGAGTTGGAGATGGTTTTAACAGGAGATGATCAGAGAGTGTGGACGGGGCAATGGAGGGGAGATTTTCAGGGAGTATTGGAGGATGCCGAGAGACGGGAGCAGAATGGAGAGGAACAGGTTGGAACGTCGAACGAAAATGCCGATGCGAACGAGGACCAGGAAGGCGAAATTAACCCGGATTCGGAGTCAGAATCTGAGCCGCCCGAGTTTGATCTCCGGACAGGCAAATATGTCTCACGAACCCGACCGATGCAGAGGTCTCGACAGCAAGTTGCGTCAATGCCTACACCGACTTCTAGTGCCTATAATGTTTCGTCTTCCACCGCACTGACAAGACGATCAAACGGCACCATGGTCACGGTCAATGGTGTCGCCTCCCCCGCCGCCGAATACCTTGCACAAAAACGCTCTTGGCGTGGTTTGGGTAGCGATTTTGAGGTCAAATACGAGGAAGATGAGGCAGAGCTGGGCAGTGTTATTGAGGAAGGCAGGACTGGTGTTGCGAGAGGGTACACAGTGGGGGAAGAGGTAGAGAGGACTTGAACTGTGTCAACGGGTGCTGGCAGTGTGTTCAAGATTTTATAAGTTGCTGTTCACGTGCTCGGCCGAGCGAGGCTGAGCTGTCTTTGATGTCCACTGGCCCTGCCGTTCTAATGTCCCACGACTTGAAAAATCCCTTCTGATCCGCAGAACAGGTCAAGATGATTGTTCCAAGCTAAGGTGGCAATTTGCATCACATCAAAGAGAATGCCATCATATGTGGTACTTGATCGAGATATCAACTTGCTGGTCAGGACGAGCCTTGCGTCATGGTGCACGGATATGACTTCCGATGATTGACCTACATCCCAATCAGGAAACGATGTTCCTCCTTACAGGTT